ATGTCGGGTTCGGCAGTGACGACATGATTCTGGATGGGGGCTGTCCTCGTCCCTTGGTGGCTGAGAAGGACGCGGTGTGTGCAGGTTATGTTGACAACTTCTGTGTCGTATCCAAGTGCGCGGAGACAGCCACGCCCCTTGCTCGTGCCGTTGCTGACCTTCTCACGGCCCGCGGGTTGCCTGTCTTGGAGTTCTCCCCTGCGGTCAGTAAGGGGGTCTTCACGGGCTTGGGGATCGACGGAGCCTCTGGGGTCATTCGCGTTCGTCCTGACCGCCTCGCTCGCACTCGTCAAGCCGTTCTCGGATTGTTGAAGCGTGGGCGGGCCTCTGCTGGGGCCCTCAGCGTGCTCGTAGGCCACTGTGCTTGGGGGATGATCCTGAGGCGCGACGTTTTGAGCATCTTTGACGCGGTCTATCGGTTCATGGGGGCTGTGGGACCTCATCCTGGACCCCTGTGGCCCTCGGTCGTCAGGGAGTTGTCGGCTGCCGTGGCCCTCATCCCGCTCTGGAGTGCCTCTACAAGGTCTCGCTGGTATCCACGGGTGCATGCTTCCGATGCGTCGCCGTTCGGGAAGGGTGTCTGTGTCAAGGAGGTCTGCCCTGCGCTGTCGTCCGAGGTCGGCCGGGTCGCCGAGCGTTGGAGGTATCGTCATGGGGATGCTGTGCTTGCCAGATCACACGCCCTGGACGTCGACGGTCGAGACGATGCTGCCGACGGTTGCCGTGCTGACACATCGTCTACTGCTCCTACTGCTTCGTCGTCTGGGCTCAGTGGGTTCTACGAGGTTCCTGAGTCCATCTACGGGGCCGAGGGTTGGAAGACCATTCACTCTAGCCGTCACACCCGACGGGGCTGCGATATCCTTCAGTACGAGGCGGAGGCCTTGGGGTTCAGCGTCCATCACGCTTCGAGGGCCCTGGGTGCCCATCATCATCGCCTCGTCTGTATCGTGGGCAATTTGGCTCTAGCTCTTTCGCTCGGCAAGGGGCGGTCTGGGAGCCGACATCTCCTCCGCGCCCTGCGGCGCATCGCTGGCGTGGCCCTCGCCTGCGGCCTGCGCCTGCTCGCGCGGTGGGTGCCGTCAGAGAGGAATGTCGCGGACAAGCCGTCGAGGGGGGGCTTTTTCGTCGGCCCTAGCTTCGAGGACGTCGGGTCGCACCTCGTCTCGCGCCGCCCGCGGATCCCCCAGGGAGGTGATCAAGGCGGCGAGGGGCAAGCGGGAACACCCCGGTCCGCTGACGCCCCTGCGGGGCGGACTGTCGGTGCTGGAGGCCAACGCGGTCTCGGAGTCGACGGGCAGGAACTACCACGCCTCCGCCTTCAGGTTTCTGAACTGGTGCCTCTGGACCGCCAGGGACTTCAAGAACAGCGCCGAGCTCGACACGATCCTCGTGGTGTTCTTTGCCCACCTCTTCCTCGACGGGCACGACAGTGCGACGGGCCGCGTCGCGATGGCCTCTCTGAAGCACCATTTGCCGTCGATGCTGATGGGGAGCCGCCCGCTGCCACGGGCCTTTCGGGCCCTCCAGGGCTGGACGAAGCTCGCGCCGCCGCAGATGCGGCTCCCGCTGCCGAGGGTCGCGACGTTCGCCATCGTGGGCGTGCTGCTGTCTCAGGGGCTTTTGTCGCAGGCGGTCTTCGTGAGGATTGCGTTCGACACATACCTGCGCCCCAGCGAGGCCTACCGACTCACGGCGGCCCCCCTGATCGCTCCGAGGTCGGGTTCCACGGAGGGCTACCAGCATTGGGCGTTGCTGGTGAACGACGCGGCGAGCGGGAGGCTTGGCAAGACGGGGGTCACCGACGAGAGCGTCATCGTCGACGATCCGCTCCTCTGGCCTCTCCTCGAGGCGTTGCGGCAAGGGCGCCGCGCGGAGGAGAGCCTCTGGGCCTTCACGCCGTACCACTCTGGGCCTTCACGCCGTACCAGCTGCGGCGCGTCTTCGCGGAGGCCCTGGTCCAGCTCGGGATCTCCGACCAGCAGACCTCCCTCTACTCGCTGCGCCACGGGGGGGCCTCCGACGACCTCCTCTCGGGTCGCCGCGCGAGGAAGGAGGTCAAGGACCGCGGCAGGTGGAGGACGGACCAGTCTCTGAACAGGTGCGCCAAGCGGGCGCGCATGCAGCAGCGGCTGGCCCAGCTCGACCCCGCGCTAGTGGACTTCGGGCAGAGGGTCGAGAGCGATCTGCTGGGCCTGTTGGACGTGATGGCGAGGACGGGCATCTTCTCGCTGCCGCTGCCGCCCCTGAGGCCGCTGTCGGCGTCACCGCCGGTGCAGACGGCTCCCGCGATGACCGACAAGTGGCTCTTCGTGTGAGGCGCCTGTGGCTACGAGCGCGGGCGCATGCCACAGTAATGCCTTGCCTCATCATGCTCTGCACCTGTGTCCCCGACCGTGTTCGGCGAGGGTGCGAGGCCCGCGGGCTCGGCGCCGTAGCGGCGAACGTTGCTCGACATCGCCTCGACGACCTCGCTGACCCTCAGGTCCTGAAGGCTCTGACTGGCTGGGTGCGCGCCTCGGCTGTGCTTGGAGCCTGGGCATCTTTGCCCTGGGGCACCTGGGCGCCAGGGGCGGCGCGTGTCCGCAAGTCTGATTCTCTGTTGCACGTGAATAGAGCCTCAGAGGCCGCCTGTCGCGCCGTGCGAGTGGCCAACGCGCTGGCAGATTCCACCTTCAAATTGATTGCTGAATGTATATTCCGCAGAGTCCCGATCATTTTTATGCACCCTGAGTCGAGCCTCATTTGGAGGCATCCCCGCTTGTCCCCTCTCCTTGCCTCGTCCTCCTCTTCCTGCTCCCTCGACTCATGCGTGTATGCGGGCCCCGTGAGACAGCGAATCCACCTTGTCGGTTGGGGCGCGCGGGACCTTGAGTGCCTCGCTCGTCGTTGCCTCTGCGCCCAAGGCCTATGTGATCGCACTCAGAGACGTCACCTGGGAGGCCTGGGACGTCCAGCTCTGGACGCCGTAGCTCGTGCCTCTGCTAAGGGTATCCCCTCGGAAGTGGCCATTGCTGGTACTGAAATGATAGTGGCCGAAGCTCGTCATCTGTCCCGCGCCGCGAGATATAAGAAAATGTTTGGTCAATGAGTAATTCGGCTGTTGCCACCTGGATAGACTAGCGTGTGGTACCGAGTCTGTGCTTCACTGCTGGCGTAGCGCTCGTGGCCGCCCTCCGCCGTTTGCACAAAGATGAAACAAGTTGGCCCCGAATCGTCCACATGCAGCGACTCGTCGGCATTTGTGGCAACACCGCGGCCGTATTCCCTCGCCCAAGTTCTACCCTGGGCCCTCCCACCCACTTGAGCTGTTCATGTTTCTCCGAGTCTGTGCTTCGCTGCTGGCGTAGCGCTCGTGGCCGCCCTCTGCCGTTTGCACGAAGTTGGCCCCGAATCGTCCACATGATTGTGATGGTGATCATGGTGGTGGTGATGGTGGTGGTAATAATGGTGACGGTGATGACGATGACGATGGTGATGGTGGTGGTGATGATGATGATTGACCGCTCATCTTGCTTATACCAGTCCTTCCCTTTCCCCCCCCGCTTCCGCGGCCCAGGGCCCTCGTCTCCGGGCCACCGCCCAGGGCAAGCAGCTTGACGATCACCTCACACCCCCTTTCAGGAGTACTACTAACCACTGTATACGCAGGAGGAGGATCGGCTTTGGGTTTGTCCTGACCCAGAGGTCGCGGAGCTCATGGAGGATTGGCTCCTCTTCACCAAGGGCTTCTTCCCTCACCCAGGCGACGAAAACCCCCGCCCCGTTCTGGAGGTTGCCCCCGCGGTCGTCTGGGAGGGCGACCCCGAGCACCCCGACGAGCAGTTGTTCTCTGGAGGTTCGGTATTCATGGACGGGCCTTGTGAGAAGCATGTAGTCAAGGAACAAAGCTGGGCAGGGTGGGGCCTAGCGGCTTATGACTCCCAGCAGGTGTTGAAGTTCCGTATGTGGTCTCCCCTGTGGGATCGGTTCCCCCAGACCCCGCAGGCGGCGGAATTCGGGGCCTTAACCCACTGTAGGGCAATCGGATTGCCACAATGTTTGTGGGGCCTTCAAGTTCGACCGTTCTAAGAAGCTGTCGTACAAAAAGGCCCTGCGCGGGCCTCATGATTAATTCCTCGGGGTCCAGTGTTTTTTTTTTGTTTTTTTCTCTGACGCGCTGAAGGCCAAGGCCCACGTGGCCGACTCGGAGGGCCTTTCCCCCGAAGAGCGTTTCTTTAAAACTGGTGACGACGAGGCTGATCGGTCAGCCAAGCGTTGGGCCGCGGCGCGCCCCAAGCCTTTCCCTTCGCATGCAGACAAGCTGCAATGGCAGCTTAAGGTCTCCCGAATAGTCTCGCGTCTTGCCGCCAAGGTGCTCGTTTCTTGGCCGCGCCTGGACCTGTCTGACGTACCATTCATTGCACCTCCCCGCCCCCCCCCCGTCCTGGGGCCGAGGCGCCCGAGGGGGTGCACATTTGGGTGTGAGTCAAAACGTTTTGGAGGTGCAATCGATGTTTCAGATTTCGACGGCAGGCAGCGCGCCCCGCTGACGAGGGCTGTGCTGGTGACTTGCCACCAGTTGCGCGTTCTGTTGTAGATCGTGGCCACTCCTGCCTAGCCTTGGAGTGTGCGAGCGATCATATTCTGATCATATGCACCCGCTGCAGAAGCGCTTTCGCCGTCGGACAATTTAAGCAGCTCCGCAATGAGTGCACACGTCCACTCGCCAAAGCGGCGGAGTACTGGTCCAGCGTCAAGCGGGGCTGGCATCCGAAGGGGAATTTTCGGGTGGAAGCGGCCCCCATCAGAGAGTGAACTGGCTGGTGGGGCAGGGCGTTCGTCAAGAACTCTCATTCTTCCTCCTTTGTCCATTCCTCCTCCTTTTTCCATTCCCGTCTGTAGCCATTGTGGCTCAAGCCATTTGGGCTCGAGGTCACATTTTGAGCGGGCGCATTTCTTCATAGGGCGATCTGCGTGTCGAGCGCAGGCAGACACGTTTTCAACACTGCGGGCGTGTCATGGTCAAACGCGTGGGCCAAGTTCCAGAACTCCCAGCTTCAGATACCAAGGGCCAGGCCTTGGAGGACGCGGAGAAAGGCGATGCCGCCTCGGCCGTTGCATGCAAGGCGCACGATGTTGGCAAGGGCCACGGCAGCAACATCGATTTCAACAGGCTCTCCGAGATGATGTCAACGCATGGAAGCGGGGTAGAAGCGCACCGAGGACCCCTTCTCTGAGGCTCGTCCCGCCCTGCGCAGCGACGCCCAGGACACCGCCTTCATGGCTCAACACCCGGACACCCCGCAAAGTGTTGAAGCGCTTGGCCGGATCGAGGGCACCGTGAAGCAGTTCCAGCCTTGCACAGCCTCAAGAAGGAGCAGCAGCGGGCCATGGCTGCAGCGGACCCGCTCTGGCGCCGTGACCCATGGACCCCTGGCGTAATCGATCTATCGATCTACAGGCGCCCGTTCATCCAGGAGGTACCACCCGCCGTCCTGTGGGAAGTCGAGGAAGGAGACTTCGCCGAGCTGCTTGCTCGCCTCCCCGACTCCGCTCCTGGCCCTGACGGGATGCCATGCTCAGTCTGGAGAGCCGCCGGCGCCACCAGGACCGACGCACTGCACCGCACGTTTGAGATTGAAGTTCATGCTCTTCACTGGTTGGTGCAACGTGGCTTCAGGAAGACGGGCGTGGTGTTCCACGACATCCGTTCCGCCTCCTCCTCCCTGCTCCACTCCACCCTCTTCTTCGTCCTTGAACGCATGGGCGCGCATTCGAGGATCATGCGCGCGGCGCACATGATATTCTGAGGTTTGGGTGAGGGTGCAATCCGCAGGTACGATAACTTGGGTTTCCACGTCCTGCGCAGGGTTAAGCAAGGCTCCCCTGCGTTTGGGTCGTTGGGGGCCCTTGCATTCGATTTTATTGCACGTCATCTCTGCTCTCATTTGCATCGGGCGGCCCGCGCCGTCGCAGCCTTCGCCGACGACGTCGGGAGGGCGAGTGCAGACATTGCCGCGAACATCGCACGGTCCCGGCCAACTTGGCCGCCATTGGTCGCACGTGCTTGCGGCACGGCGGTCCGCGAGAGTCACATCGCGGTCGCCCTCCCCGGCGGTAACACCCTATGCCTCCTAGATGGGTTCAGAGTTGATGGGGGCACAGGATCGCGCCGCATCGTCGATGCATCGCCGAGGTGGCTCGATGTGGAGCCCCATTTGCTTCATGTCGACATCGCCAATGCATCGCCACGTCGACGTTGCATCACCGGTGCATCGCCCATGCATCGCCGATGCATCGCCGATGTATCGGCGATGCGGAGCGATCCTCCGACCCCATCTACCCCGACCCCATCTAGGAGGCCTCGTATACACGGAAGCCGAGTTTCGAGGAGAATTGGCGCCGCCCATGGTGAGTTCGCCAAGTTGAAGCAAGTGTGGGCGCACGCAAATCTCTCCAGGCAACAGAAGTTGAAGTTCTTTCAAGCTTTTGTGTTATCGAAGCTCCGCTACGGCTTATGCGCGACTTGGTTGGTCACGGCCCAACGGCGCAGACTATTGGGTTTCCATGCGCGCTGCTTGCGCCGCATACTCAATGTGCCGTCAGCATATATTTCACGAGTTTCAAATGACGAGATCTTCCGTCGTGCAGGCGTCCGGCCCATCATTGATCAATTACTCGACCAACAGCTGGTGTTATTGCATCGGGTCGGGCGCTCGCCAGCAGGGAGCCCGCTGCGGCGAAATGCATTCGTTGGTGCATCGGTACAACCTGTGATCGGCTCATTCATCCGCAGAGTCGGCCGTCCGAGACAAGACTGGACAACGCAGGTGATGAATGAGGCGGCGAAGAGGTGCCCGGACCGCCGGCGGCTGGAGGAGGCCATGACGGATCGATCCGCGGGGTCGGAGCAGCGCTGGAAGCACCTGATGGGCATTTCCGTGAGGCCACCGCACAGCAGGAGGCCATGATGGCCGTGCCTCCACCCCCCTTCCCCCTCCCCCTCCCTCCTCCCCCCCCTCTCTCTCCCCCCTCCTCTTGTCGACGCGCCGACGCTTTGTCCTGACGAATTGTGTTTTGAACTCACGACGTCGATTTGTCGCCCGCCGCTCGCTCGCACGACGCACGTTTGCTCGGTGCGCGCGGGGGCCGGTCAATCCTTAGTGAATGCTCTGTTGCCGATGCGCCGTCCGGGCGCCTGGCTTCTCTGTCTGTCTGTCTCGCCGCCCTCGGCACGGCGACATCTCCAGCCATCGTCGATCGCGCGGGCCAACACTGGGCCACGAATCTGGGACGAGGTGGCCGCGCTCTCTCTCTCTCTCTCTCTCTCTCTCTCTTTCTCTCTCTCTCTCTCCCGGCGGGTGCCCGCCCGCGGGTGCCAGAGTCGCACGCGCGCAGCGGGGGGCCTCAGCCTTGGCCTGCGCAAGGCCTTCCCAAACGACTGTCGGGGCGCTGAATGGGGAGCCCTTTTCGTTTGGGAGGGACTCGGTGTTCCTTGATTGTTTAACAATGTCCCTTAGGTGTTCCTGACGTTTACGATGGGATATCGAAACTTGAGCTCCTGATTGAGGGCTCCTTGGGTCAAGGCCCAGGCGGTACAACATCACCGTCTTCTCCACGCTCCCCTGCGTGGCCCAGTTCATGCCCCCATTCCTTGGCCCTGGAAGCGGAACCCCGCGCTCAGGAATGATTCGGGCGTGGTCTTGCCAACTCACTCCCTCCTGCTACTCTACAGCGGTTGCCTCCGTCCCCCATTCCTGCTTGCCCTCGTGATTTGATCTGCGTCACACGAGTCAGCATGCACAGGACGGCTACCACATCGGCTTCATGTCATGCTTACCGGACATGCCATCGGACGGGAAATGGATCCAAAGGATCGTTACCCAGCAGTTGTTCGACATGCTCGAAAGCCCCATGGGGGCGGTTATTTCTCTTTCGTCTCCCTCCTGGGGCGCCCTGCCTTGCAGCGGCATGGTCCTTCAGAAGCTCTCCAAAGTCGGTGCTGCATTACGCGTGGAAGACCTGTTCCTTGTGCACTGCATATTTGTGGGGGTTGGGAGGGTGGCCCCGATGTCGACGTGATCAGTCTATTTCAAAACGGTGTTTAACGCGCGGACATCGAGGTTTAGCGGCCCGACGCGTCGCTGTCTGGCATGCCAGGTCTCTCATGGAGATGACAAGCGCCACATGCTCGAGTGCTGGGCGTTTTCCCTTGTGTCCCTCTCCCTCCCGCTCCTGTCGGCCACACTCTGCTTGGGCGACGGCCTCTCCCGAACTCGTTTATGGGGCTCCGGTGGACTCCGTCTGAGGCGCTTATCTCGGCCATGTTAGAGGTTGAAGCGATTTTGGCTGTTTATCACGATCTCAAACGTGCCATGCTCACTCGTCGTAACAAATTTTCAGCCTTGGATGCGCGACTGCACCAGCAATATCGCCAGTGCGAGGCTCTAGCCCCGCTGGTGGGCTCTTGTGCTGCCCCCCTAGTTGGTGCTAGCGCGGTGGTGCTCTTCCTCATCCTCCTTCTCCTCCTCCTCCTCCTCCTCCTCCTCCTCCTCCTCCTCCTCCTCCTTCTATCGTCCGATTTCCGCAGAATGGTCGCGTGTTGTCAGAGCCAACGGTCCATGACATTGAGATGCGGTCGCGCAGCGCAAAAGATGCTTGCGGACCCATGGATTGCATGGCATCATGGTCAAAACAGGCTGTGGAGAAATTCGGTTTCTGCTGAAATTCTTCTCCCGCGCTTTTTTGTTGCGTGTGTAGTGCATTGTACGATCCTCTCATGCGTGCTAGGGCCCCTTCAGCGAGCGGGCTTGTATGCTGGTAGGGTGGCCGTCGTGCATGCTCGCTGTGGCCTCTTCAGGAAAGCCTCCGTAAGAGGCGGTGGATTGCCCTGGACACTCTCGCCCCTGGATGGGCGTCTGCCTCCTCTCATTCCTCCTCCCTGCCCCCTTCCCCGCGACGCCCCCCCCGCAGAGGCCCTGTGTTCGGAGGCCGAGCGCCAGCGCCCGCGCGCCGCCGCGGACGCGGACTCGCCGGAGGCGGGGCTCTGGGGGCGGTTCGGGAGCCTTGAGTCGGAGGCGACGACGACGACGACGACGACGGCGACGGCGACGGCGACGGCGGCGGCGGCGGCGGCGCGGCCGCAGCGGCGGGCTGCGGCGGCGTGTCCGCTGTGGCCTCCGAGAACGTGGTGGCGCGCGCCCGCGCGCGTCCGCGGGTGGGCGAATAACCCAGGGGCGGGTGGGCATTGCACGCACTCGTTGGGGAGCTCCGCCGGAGGCATGAACCGCTCGCGCTCCTGGATACACGTATTGCCCTCCCCCGAGCTGTTCGCCCCCGCCGTCGCCCCCGATTGAGACAGGGGTCATTGCAAACGGGGGTCATCCAGAGCGCTGGATATTGCAGGATGCTGCAGGATATTGCAGGATCCTGCAAGGCATGACGGACCCAAGTTTTCATTGACCGGGGCCAGCAGATGCCCGAGCGGTGGTCTTGGCACAACAAAGAACCACAACCATAATTGAGCAGATTCGTTTGAGGGCCCCTCGGGAGAGAACACACCGACTTCGACATGAGCACTTTGGTTGTGATTGTGGTCGATTTGGCAGAGGGAGGGACAGGCTCGGGCGGGAACTTTAGGGCTCGAGGTTCGAGACTTTCTGGCGTTTTCGGTATAAAACAGAGCGAAGCGGTGTGGAAGTTACAGCTTCCGTGCCGAGCAAACGCAAGGTCCAATACCTTGGCCTAGGCATTTATCCGTAAGGGCTTCGCCCCCTGCCGCCGGCCCCCTCTCTCGGAGAATGGGCCATGGAAGAGCTAAGTCATGAGGCCTTGGCGCTGTCGTGAAGCAGTATCGAAACTTCATGCGAAGCCGATTCGCAATCAGCAAAACCAACTGATCACAAGAGGGGTTACCACACCTGGCGATTGGTAAGACGTGTATGGTTTACGGGCTTGGTTACCACACCTTGCGATTAAAGGGCCGAGGGAGTTCTCGCAGTTTGGGTTACCACGCCTTGCGATGGATGTGCGTGAAGGGTGGCACCGAATTTCAGAAATGTGGCAAATCCCTTGTGTTTTTGGACCCTGACCCCGCGGATCTGCGTAAGGGGTGGCGCCGAATTTCAGAAATGTGGCAAATCCCTTGTGTTTTTGGACCCTGACCCCGCGGATCTGCGTGAGGGGTGGCACCGAATTTCAGAAATGTGGCAAATCCCTTGTGTTTTTGGACCCTGACCCCGCGGATCTGCGTGAGGGGTGGCACCGAATTTCAGAAATGTGGCAAATCTCTTGTGTTTTTGGACCCTGACCCCGCGGATCTGCGTGAGGGGTGGCACCGAATTTCAGAAATGTGGCAAATCCCTGTGTTTTTGGACCCTGACCCCGCGGATCTGCGTGAGGGGTGGCACCGAATTTCAGAAATGTGGCAAATCCCATGTGTTTTTGGACCCTGACCCCGCGGATCTGCGTGAGGGGTGTCGATTTCGAGCCCCCCCAGCAATTCAGACAACGCGCCCAGGAGACGCTAAAAATCCCGTTTGGGCCTCCCCCCCCTCGCGCGGTCAATCAACTAGTTACAGTAACCAGCAAGAAGCAGAACTGTAACACTGGAAACTACAAAGTACGACTGGTACAGGAAACTGCGAATCACGGGCCTACAGCCTGGTGGCCCCACAAGGGGGCCGGCGGATCCCACAAAATGGGATAACGCATCTTGCACGGTATGTAATATCTACATTTGTCAGTTGGAAAGGCTCCTCCGCTTCCCAGAGGGTCACCCTAAAATCCGCTCCGTTTTAGGGAGACCCTTGCAGCCCTCTCTGAGATCCTTGTCATCCTGGCACTACGCTCAAGGAGCTAATTCGATGTCTGCCCAGGCATTTATCCCACACAGTGGGATAACGCATCCTGCGTCGACATGAAGGTGCCGATCGCATGATCTCCAGGTGAACTTTCTCGGGGTGCCCAGATCGTCCCGTGGCTTCGCCGCGTGCCTTCCCAGGGTGCCGTGATCGTCCACTGGGCTGTGGCCTCGCCGTCAGCAGTTTCGATGATACGAATTTTTGTGAATTGTTTTTCTTCCGACCTCGGGGCAGACGCCCTCCCCAAGACGTGCAGGTCTGTCCGCACCGCGGCCATTCTGGCTCGAGGGCGATTTGCTGCCGCAGCAAACCCAACTTGGGAGCGCGAGATCGTTAAGAATCTTTTGAACCAGCTGGGCACCAGCTGCTTGAACCAGGAGGCGAGACTTGAGCCAAAGTGGGCAGGTGGGGCAACGTGCTCATCAGGAACGCCGCGGAGACAAGGACGCCCGCCCCGGCGCTTCAACCCACGACAAGATCTGAGGTCACGATGCGGACGAGGCTTGGGGCACCGCGGGCGTCCAAGGAGGCAGCAAACGAGCTCACCCTCGGGGGCATGAGGCACCCCGCGCGCGCGAGCCAGCGCATTCAGGGCTACGCAGTCACCGGGCGCCGCATCAGGAGCATGCTCCAGGGCTTTCTCACGCAAAACCAGAAGACGCTGGACGAGTGCCTCGCAGCTTTGAGCTCCGATGACGAATCGGCGGGGCCGGCGGAGGAAGCGCTAGCCCAGGTGCGCCGCATGTTGGCCAAGGAGCTGGACACAGGACGCGAGACCTGTCAGCACAGAGTTCTGCGAATCCCCGATTCGCGCCGGGCTGCTCAAAGCCTGGGGCATGGCTGCGAGAGACCCCGACGCAGAGATCATCCACGAGTGGCTGACCCCGGGGGCCCCTGCAGGCATCGAGTCGCAGACGCGAGACCCCGGGATCTTCCTGCGAAGGGAACCTAGAGCCAGCGACTTAGACGGCTGGGAGTTTCAGGGGGACTGCGAAGCTCGCGGAAACTTCCTGTCTGCGGACGGGGACCCAATGGCAGGGCCAGAAGTAGAGCGTTTGCTAGCCACCGGCTACGTCCGAGCCTTCGCCTCGCTCGCCGAATGTCGGCAGTGGCTGGGCATTCACCCCGAGGTCAGCAAGCTCGGCATGATCACAAAGGCGAAACACGATAAGATCAGGCGCAGGCTGATCTTGGACTACAAGGAGTGCGGCGTCAACGCGAAGGCACAGCAGCGGCAGCGCATCATCCTCCCCAGAATTCCGATGCCGTCGACGACGCCCTCTACCTCCTATGGGTCGCGGCTGATTCGGCCAGTGCCGAAGTGGAGTTTTTGGTCATAGACTTCACGGACTGGTTTTTCCAGATCCCGCTCCACCACAAGGAGCAGAAACATTTTGTTGCCATTAACAGCGGCACGTACTTCGTGTTCCTCACCATGGTGCACAGCAGTGTGAATGCGCCGCTAGTGTGCGGACGGGTGGCAGCATCCGTAGCTCGGCTCACACAGTCGCTCTTCGAGCGCACGGAGTTGAGATTACAGTTGTACGTAGACGATCCTCTCATGGCAGCAGTGGGCAGCCGTTCCGACCGTAATCTATATTTCGCCATTGCGATCTAGCTTTGGGCAAGCCTGGGCATCAAGCAAGCTTACAAGGAAGCGGAGAGAGGCCACGCCATCACGTGGATAGCGGGCTCCCTGAAGGTCGATAACAATGGCACGTGGGACGCGCAGATCACAGCCTCCGCCAAGCAGGATATATTTGACGAAGTAAGTCACGGATACGGCCTTGAGCACGCTTGAGAGCAACGTTATCGCCTTCAAGCAGGTCCAGAGCTTTTTCGGAAAGGCGAACCACATTGCAGGTATCGTCGAAAGCTGGCGACCGCTTCTGCATGACATGTGGGGCGCAGTCGGAGCTTGCTTGAGAGGCGAAAGGAGCGCGGCGCCACCTGGGTGCATTTGGAGCAGGCAAGTGGCTGGTGGCCTCCGGTGGATCTTGTCATTTTGCAAGCATGCCGAAACGTCCATCGTCAGGGTATTCGTCGTGAGCGTCTACTTCGGCGAAGGCGACCAGGTCCATATCATTACGGATGCCTCGCCCTGGGGGATCGGCGGGTGCTTGTCCGTTAACGAGCAGGTGGTCGAGTATTCTGCCGATAGTTTCACTGCCAGGGGCGCGGAGACTTTCGGGCACCCCCTCGGCGATCCCAGTGGACAGCAGGTATGGGAAGCTTTGGCCATGCTGGTGGCGATCCGCCTTTGGGAGGCCACATGTATGAAATCAGGGGTCACCCTGATGGTTCGGTCTGATTCCATATCGACGCTGACGCTACTCCACAAGCTGAGGCCTGCGGTGAGCTCACATACGCTTGGGCTCATCGCCAGGGAGCTTGCGATTGACCTGGGCAATTCGGCATTCAAACCGAGGTTACTGCAGCACACCCCAGGGCTAGCCAACGCAGTTGCGGATGCGCTTAGCCGACTTGCGGCGCCTGGCCACGGCGCCCTTCCCCACCCAGCCCTGCGGCATGCGCTGCGTCGCGCAGCGCCGGCCCGGGGGCGCGTTCTTGCTCCGCGCGCGCGCCGCCCGCTTCGCATGAGGGGCAGGGGGGCCGCGCGCTCGCCGCAGGAAAACTTAGGCCTGCAGGCCAGGGCGCGGATGCAAGAGGCAGCGCGTCGCGGGCCAACAGCTAGAATCGCTGCTATCAGCAGCGCATTTAAGGGCACGGGGTAGCAGCGACGGCGGATGCCAATAGCAACGCGGCTGCGGCTGGCGGCGCTCAGACCGTCGACCTCCCAGGCCCAGTCCTACGCGCGCGCCCCTGCGGCGGATGCCAGCCGGCAACGCGAGCTACAGGGGCAGCGACAGCGGATGCAATCGGCAACGCGCGCGCCCTCGCTGCGGACGCCAGCCGGCAACGCGACCTGGGCGGGCAGCGAATGCGGATGCGATCGGCTACGCATCGGCCTCGGGCGCAGCCGCCATGCCCATGGGATTTTTGTTGGACCCGATCACATGCTTGATCTTACCCCCGATCCCCCTTGCAGCCAAGCGCGGCGTTGGCCATGCGCTGAGGGCGAAGTTCGGGATGGACCGAGGTCGCCGGGGCGCGGCGGACAAATTGGACCGCGACGTGATGCCGTCGGGCACGAGCTAGCGTCTTTATATGATTAG